CCACTACCGCTACCGACAGACGACATCATGGACTTGCTAAACATTTGCCTAACGTCTACTTACTTTCAGTACAACGGTAAACACTACAAACAGTTACACGGCACTGCCATGGGGTCTCCAGTTTCTGTTGTTATAGCAGAAATTGTGATGCAGAACATCGAGGAACGCGCCCTTTCGACTTGCCGACAAACGATACCGCTTTGGTTACGTTACGTTGACGACACATTCACCGCCGTTCGACACGACGAAATTGACGCATTCCACAACCACCTTAACGAACAAAACACTGACATACAGTTTACCAGAGAAGTCGAAGAAAATGGCAAACTTCCTTTTCTAGACTGCCTGGTAAGCCACAACGACAACTCATTACGAACGACAGTTTACAGGAAACCGACACACACCGACAGATTACTAGACGAGTCATCCTACAACCCTACATCACACAAAGCCACAACTATCAGAACTCTAACACGACGCGCACAACTAGTATGTGACTCGACAAACAGCTTATCCGACGAGAACAAATACCTTCACCGTGTTTTTACGAAGAACAACTACAACAACGACTTCATCCGACGAAACACTCACCGACCCACTACCACTACCGAAACAAACGACACCGCAACCCCTACGACTACAGCAACCATACCGTACATAAAAGGTATGTCTGAAAACATCTCGCGCATCTTACTACCCTTCAATATCCGCGTCGCCCACAAACCCATCACCACACTACGTCAGTTACTAACCAACGTTAAAGACAAAGACGAACCGAGGAACAGACAGGGAACGATTTATAAGATCAATTGTTCCGACTGCCAAGCCTCCTACATCGGTGAGACTGGCAGAAACCTCACAACAAGACTGACTGAACACAGACGGGCGACGAGGAAAGGTGATGTCAGCAATCACATTGCTGAACACCATCGACTTACCAACCACAACATTGACTGGGACTCTGCGCAATGCCTAACCTACAGCACTGACTATTTTCAACGACTGACTCTGGAAAGCTGGTTTACTAACTTAGAACAGACTCCCCTAAACAGATGTCAACAACTACCCGCCCCATACAAACGACTCATTCACGACATAAACATCACAAACGACCGAAAAAGAACAACCTAGCTTTACCGACAGACCGAAACAGACCAATCACGAACGACTTACGTCACTTGAGTCTTACAGCCAATAACATCACGGCAAAACCAACCGATCATTTCACACGAACTGGAATAAGAACATTCTACTGACAACAATCACTCACTTGACTCTGATGATGACTTCCGCACAGGTTGTCGAAACGTCAGTCACTGCCACCGACAACAGTCCTTCTCAGGACTACACTCACCCGGACGATCAGACTACACCTTCACATGTTACCCCCGGGTTCAAACCATTTACTGCAGTATAGTGCATATACCTTCTGATAATGTTTGCTTCTTGTTCTCGTGAGGAGGGAGAGCAAGTAAAGTTCTTTCTATCTGGGCCATAAACAATGGAGTCAATCATCAGAATTGGAACTCTGAAAAGAACATTCCACTGCAATATTAATTTTCACTTCAGTAATAGTGTCTTCTTCCAACAAGAATTAGTCATAATCCTTACAACCTCACCATTCAAGAAAGTTATTGCTACAATACAAAGCCCTCAACACATTTTAGATCAAATATCATTAGCTAACTTGAGTATACTTTTTCCTACTTTTAGAAAGGCTTAGAAGACAATATTTCTGATAAAGCTTACACAGTACAACCATCATCCTTTCTTCTTCTGCTTGTGAGCGTTGGTAGATTATATATCAGAGATAGGAACCAATGCCCACTAAAAATAAAACAAACAGCAGCACTGTTTATATTATGACTGATGGTGTTTGCAGAGAAAAATAGTTAACAAAATCATGATTTGGCAGCATAATACCAAAATAACCGCAAGAGATATATATATATATATCTATATATATATAAAACAGGCAATAATCATAATTACCATGAACTATACCTTCTACATACTGGAATGAAAATAAACTTATTTTTGAAAATGTCCACTCTCCTTGTAAACTGAGATGCCTTGACATATCTTTCATCAGGACTGACATGCATAGAAATGCAAATAATTATTAAAGACCATCAGCATGTAAGAGAAACATGTATATAACAATTATAATAATCAGTATTGTCTTAATGTACTTTGAAGAAAACCAAGCATATTAGGTACATGTATATCATTAGGATGGACGAGCTTACCAACAATACAAGAGCTATTTTTTGCAGGACCAGAGATGACACTGCTTTAAGCGTTTAAATCTAAGCGTAAAGAGAACAATTAATTACCCAGGCAAGACAAAGGTTTCTCCAGTCTGAACTCTAGTTGACAGCCTGGTGTAAAAAAAGGAGCTAAACACATTAATGCTGTCAAGCAAATCCTGATCCAGTGATTGGGATATGTACCTAAAGTATTAAAAACAGAAAGATGTACAAATTTGGAAAGTAATTTTTCACTGCTATTAACCAGTTGATTAGCAAAACAATCTCAAATGGTGGATCTTGAAGTGGATGAAGTATAATCTCTTTGCTTCAGCAACCCCATAACATA